AGGGTGTGGTGGGAAGAGCACACCATGGCACTATAGGTATTGCAAGATGTTTGTGAAGGTGCTCCCTCCATCCTTCCATGGGTCCTGTAAAACACTCAAGTTGTCAGGCGTGTTCGGCTGGGCAGCAGGCCATCTTGCAGGAACTTGCATGGGACAGTCCCTTCACACACTTTTACTTTTGCCGTCTTTTGGACTGAATGTTTTCATTCATGTCTCCCCATAACCAGCTTGGTTCTCACTCCCCTTCACCATTCTTCTCCTGATTTCCCTACATAGTCCAATGTGCATCGCTTGCTTTAGCCCTGATTCGAGGTCACTGATACTTGAACTGTATTTCCAGACAACATAAGAGCATTGAAACACTTTCACTTTGATAATGGCCAACCTTTCTTTGCCACCACTCGCTGTTATCCAATATCTCAATTATTCTTCAAATTATTATTATCTGTTTCTTTTATTTTTTGAGATAGGATTTTGTTATGCTGCAAGACTTACTTCAAACTCCTAGGCTCAAGAGAATTTCTTGTCTTATCTTCCCATCATGCCTTGCCATTATTTCATTCCTTCCTTCCTTTTCTTCCTTCCTTCCTTCCTTCCTTCCTTCCTTCCTTCCTTCCTTCCTTTCTTCCTTTTCTTTCTTCTTTCTTTTCTTCCTTTCTTTTTTCTTTCTCTAGGCCAGGTCTCACTAGGTAGCTTTGGCTGACCTGGCAGTCACTATATAGACTGTGACCTAGAATTAACAGAGATCTGCCTGCCTCTGCCTTTGGAGTGCCGGGATTAAAGGCGTGCTCCACCATGTGGCTCCATTATTTCTTCATAGTCATCCTGGCTCCACCTTCTGAGGACAGAATTAGAGGTGGGCTGCCATGCCCACTGGGCATTTTGTAAATTTCTGGGGGATCTGAACCCCATTCTTCGTGCTTGCTTTAGCTGCTGTGCCCTCTCCCTAGTCTCTATTTGCAGAATTTTTCTAGAAACAAGTTTAGGGCTATGATGAGGCTGTCTTCCACCGCAGGTGTAAACAAATGCCCTCTTATGTTAGTGAAAATGCCTTCTAAAAAAAAAAAAGCAGAGGAAAAATATGGCTTATGTGTATGAATTCTGCAATTTTAAATAAGACAGAGCACCAACTCCCTGGAGTTGTTAGAGGAAAAAGGGAACGCCATGTTCAGAAGTGAGCGGAGAGTCCAAAATATTGCAAACCAAAGGTGAGCTGTGTAGATTCTCAAACATAGAGGCTGAAGAGCTGGGTGTGATGGTACAGGTTGTACAGGCAGGCGAGGCAGGGCGATTGAGAGTTCCAGACCATCCTGACTTACATGGTGAGATCTTGGCTCAAACAAACAAAAGCAAAGAGGGCTGGCAAGACAGCTTGGCTGGTAAAGGTGCCTGCTGCCAAGCCTGATGACCTGAGATGGAGCCTGAGGACCCACTCTGTAGAGCAGAACTGACTCCAGCAAGATGGCTCAGTGGGTAAGAGCATCTGCTGTATACACAGGAGGACCGCCTGAGTCCACACCACCAGGGTACACGCAGAAAAGGCTGGGAATAGAGGGGTGTGCATTGGAGAGCAGAGACATGCAGATTCTGGAGGCTTCCTGTCCAGCCAGTCTAACTGGAACAAAGAGCTTTAGGGGTCCAAGAGAGGGGACGACACCTGATACCCTCCTCCAGCCTCACCATGTGTATGTACAGATGTGCACACGCACTGATGCCATACACACAAATAAGGCAAAAAAACAAACAAACAAACAAACAAACAAAAAAAAAAAACAAAAGCAAATTAAAATTAACAAAGTTAGTCAGGTGAGCCTGATAGTCTATATGCTTGTAATCTCTCCACTTGGGAGGCAGAGCCAGGAAGATCAGGAGTCAAGGTTATGGTTAGCAAGTTTCTGGCCTGCCTGTGCTAAATGAGACCTATCTCATAAAGGAGGAAGAGAGGAAGCAGAAGAAGGAGAAAAAGGAGAGGAAGAAGAAGGGGAAGGGGAGGAAGAAAGTACTGAGTTATAAGAACATTGGGCTTGCAGCATCTGTGAGGGATACTAGGAAGCTGCTGTATAGACTCTCACACTCAGGAGAAAGCATGGTAGTGGTACGAGGGGGTTAGGAATCCCTTTTTGGTGTAAACATGGAAGTCCAGGAAAGAGGTGATTAGACAATAGCTGAACAAGAGAGGCCTGAAAACTGAGTCTTGGCATTCTCCAAAGTAAGAAGGTGTGGCCATGGGTGATGGAGGAGAGAGGAGATGGGGAAGGAAGAGGGATATGCTGAGGGAATCGGTGCTACTGGTGTTGGTCAGCTCAGAAGCAGAAAGGAACCAGGTTAACAGCAGCTGCGCCCAACAACGAACGCCATTCCCACTGGGTCCCTAGCTCTGATCAGAGCACTCAAAAGAGAGGGTCAGTCCACCTCAGGCATCAGCGTCCTGCCTCTTATCACCTTGCGCTGATAACACTTTGTCAATAAATGTCTGCTCCGCATCTATGGGAGTGGGTCAGATGACAATAATACAAGTTAAGATGATTTCTAGTAACAGCAGTAGACTCGAGTGACCTGTTTCACGTAAGGGGATCACCAAAGTCCTCTTGGAGGAGTGACGCAAGCAGAGACCAGAAAGATGACAAGATGATGGATGATGGATTGAGGGAAATAGTTTTCTCAGGGGAAGAAAGCTTGGGGTGATGTTGGGAAGAGGGAGGCCACAGCTGGGAACTTAGGCTCATCTCTGTGATGCTGAAGGCTCAAGGCTCAAGGGGGAGTCACATGACCTGATTTGTATTTCGAAAATGTCACTGAGTTGGTCAGATAGACATCAGAGTATAAGGGGCAGGCTGGGAGCGGGGAGTTAGGAGGTTCTCTTAGCGCAGGTAACAGGTGGCATCTGGGACAAGAACCTGCCAGGACACACACTGGAGGCAGCAACATTAAAAGGAGCCTGTCTTTGGGCCAAAGCTTTTCTAAAGCAGAGAAAGACTACCTACCAAACAGGCAGTTTGGCAGGCACAGCCCTTGCTCTTCGGTTGATTACTTACTTACAAGGAAACTCAGATCGCCCACTTAAAGTTGCCAATCATTGTATTAGTTCATCCTAGTGTCTAAAAAAAATGCAGAAGCTGGAGGAGGAGCAATGAGGGTACCCTGGAAACAGGACTTGGGAGCCTTCCTTTTCAGGGAGAGCAAAGGGGCCCGTAGGGGGCACCTTGACCACCTAGAGGTGTTCAGGGCTCCAGGCTCGGTTTCCAACCCCACTGGAGATTCTCGGAAGCTCTGAAAAGCAATGACTCAGGGGAGGTTCCTCCCATGAATACCTCTTCCTAGTTCGCTGGGAATGACTCACCTGCTCCCTCCCTCAAGAGTGACCCCGGGGCCAATCGCTTAATGAGCCCACACCTTCTCTTCTGCCTGGGACAAAAGAATGGTGGAGCTTTTGGCTCCCTAGGGGCAGAGGTTGTCAGCAACTACTCAGGTCGCTCCGGACACCCCTGGTGGGTTTCAGAGGTGTCTAAAAATAGGCAGACCTCCTCCCCTTGCACCGAAAGGGTGCACGTGCTAATGCCGGTTGCCCGCAACGTCTTTAAATTTACAGAGCCTTTGGCAGCGTTTTGTTCGCAAGCTTTGGTGTGTTGGAGAATAACATTTTCCTTATTTATTTATTTATTTATTGCCGGGGATTAAACCCCTTGCGAAAATTAAGCGCTGGATCTACCCGGAAAAAGTCTTGGAGGATTTTTCTTTTGGATACGAATCTTGCTCGGGGGAGGCAGGCAAACAGAGATTCCCAAAGTCAGCAATGCTGAGAACGTACAGGGTGGAGGTGGGGAGTTAATAAACAGACCTCCATTTCTGGCAGGGCAAGGGCTGCTAGAAGCTGGTACTTCAGGGACCACGGGGGTGGTCACCTGAGCTAGGTGTAGCTCGCCCGAAGCAAATGGGAGGGGCGGGGACAGCGCGCGGCTAGTCTGGCAACAACAGAGCAGATGCCCGCGGGATGCTCGCAGAGGTCCGTAGCCAGCGCACGGTCGCCTCCTACTTCCTGCGCCCTGGTCGCCTCCGGGCCACTCTGGACATCCCCCTCCTCTCTCTGCCCTGAGCCAGCGTGGCGCCCGCCCTCTACCTTGTCCGGCCGCCTGGGGTCGCCGCCCTGTGGGAACAGGACAGTTGGAACGCGGTAGGCACTGCCCCCACCCTCCGTGGGGGGCCCCTCCCGGCCCGGGCGCGCATCCACGCCCCACCCGGAGTCAGCAGCCTAGCTCCTCGGAGTTACCTGCCCGGGGAAGTCAGTCTACAGTTTGGACTCTACCCGGGTGAATCCTACGGCGCCCAAAGCCACATTCCTGGGGGAGGGGGTCCTCCGACCCAGAGGGTCGCGGATCACGTTACCCGGCCAGAGGAGGGGACCGCACGAGGCTGAGCAAACCGGGGGTAAAAGTTACATTTAGCTTAACCTCCCCAGACCCCAACTGGGCTTCGCTGAGTTCCTGGAATCCAAGGACCCCAGAGTAGCTCCTAAGGATACAGGCACGGTCCCCGCGCGCGCGGGTGCGACATGCGTGGCGTATACCCCGGGGCGGGAAGCACGAGCGTTAGCAAGGACCCGGAGCAGGGAGACCGCTCGCCGGCGTGCGCATGCATGCGCTCATGCATCTCGGCGTGTGTCCCCGCACCCGCCCCGGGACACCCGCATTAGATGCAGAAGTAGGGTATCAGCCTGCCAGGGCAGGATCGCGGCGGGGCAGACGGCAGCTCGCGTAGGGGATAGGGGCGATCGGGGCAGGGAGAAGAGCGAGCACCCCAGAGGCACAGTTGGAAAACCGGGCGGGGTGGGGGATGTTTCTTGAGAAGTCCCTCGGGCGCTGAAGGGGGCCGGGCGGGCCTTCGGGGCCAACTTTCCGGAGGGAGGTGCGGCCGGAGGGGGCGGTGCCGGCGGCGGGAGGCGGGAGTCGGGGGCCGAGGGGGGGGAGTCACTTTAAAGGCTCTTTCTTACCCATAATGCTTTGTGGGGACGTTGACAAGTGGATCCAAGATGGCGTAGAAAGTAATGACAGGTAAGTCCTGACTTCCCCGTTCTCCGCTGCCCGGGTCGCTTCGGGAGCCTCCAGAGCCAAGCGGGGAGAGGCCTGGACTGTCCTCGGCTGCTCCGGGTCCCGGACAGCGCGGCCCCGGGGGCAGCGGGGGGTCCCGACGGCCGGCGACAGGGCCTGGGGAGCGGGGCTCTCTTAGAGGCGAGGCCCGGACGCTGGAGCTGTTTACTGCTTCTTCCCCTCCTCAATCTCCTTTTCCCTCCGCTGGGGGCCGGAGGCGCCAGGGGCCCAGGCGGTGGCCCGGGGGTCCTTGCACACGCCCGAGGTTCGGGGGGGCCCGGGAGCCCGCGCGAGGCTGCTCGGGCACGGGCCGCCCCGGGGTCCCCGCACGCCCCGCGCCCCCGGGGTCGCGGCTTAGGGTGGGGAGCGGGCGGCCTCCCAGGCCGCGCGCGGTGCAGCCCTCCAGGTTAGCACTTCCACCCGGGGTGGGGCGGTGACCCCAGGGAAGAGGACTCCACGAAAAGTGGGTCAGGGGGGCGCTCCTCCCCAGCAGAGGGCTCTGCCCAAGATTCACTGTGGTCCCCCTCTCCCCGCCCCCCTCCTGGGACATGCGTGGCCTGTGAGCACATCTACAAAAACAAATCCACTCTCTCTTCCTGGAGGTGTCTCAAAAGGCCCCTTTCTTTCCTCCTCTCTCTCTCTTTCCCTCAAGGGCTCGGACGCACAGTCTTAACTAGGTACTGTGATTTCTCTGCCCCAAAGATTTGAGTCTTTTGCCCCCTGGCCTTTGCTGAGGGTCCTTTCAGACAAGGCTGGAAGCCAGAGTCCTCAGATTTCTTTTGGGTTGGGAACCTTGTAAGTTTTTGTTGAACTCCGAAATTGGCATTCTTTCTCCCTTGCAAACTTACACTTTTCAGGCAAGCCATTAATATAATCAAGAGTGTAACTCCAGAGATAGGAGAGTCCCCGAGAGGGCGGGAGAAGAGGGAGAGCAGAGCTTGTCTCGCCTAGTTTGTTCTTGATTTTTGCCCTCTCCACTCGTATGAATAGCCTTTTTTCCCTCCTTGGCTTTTCCTCCCTTCCCTTTATTTGTGAAAGCAAGACTAATGAGTGCTGAAGAGATGAGTTTACTGTGTTTAAGACTTAACGTTTTTGTAATCTGTTATTGAAAGAAAATATTTTCAGTTTTAGGTCAAAGAAACAGATTCTCCCCCCTTCCCCCAAGATTCATACTGCACCGTTTTTTATAACTTTTCCCATTTAAAGTCTCCATGTTCTTTTGCTTCAGGGTGATAATATGTTTGCTACTGGTAATGGCACCAACTGGTATTCTATAGCTATATTCTACTTTTCTGTTTGCTCCAGGAATTGGATGAAGTAATTGATCACTAATGAACTACAGAGCCGGTGAGATGTGCAAGGTGAGACGGAGTTAAAAGCTGTGTCCTGTTTCTCCTCTTTCTTGTAACCATCGTAAGGGCAAGGCTAAAGCTACTTTCCAAGTAGATCTGTCAGCCAGCTGGGGTTCGGACAGGGCTAGATTTAGGAAAGGTGTACCATTCTTTCTGGGGGCTCCAACTTACTCATAGATGGTGGAGCTTATCGAGAGCCAAATGTTATTTGTGGCTATCCTTGATCAGTGTCTCCTCCAGGAGCAGTTATAGTTTTTCAAATTTCCTTGTGTAGCTTTGATTGGATTTTTGGTTTGGATTTTATCGGTTTTCGTGTCCATTGCCTGCCCCGCTCTGAGTGTAAGAAGTCAGGTAGATGAAGTTTGCATACCTGCTCTTTGTGGGACAGTTATGCAGCATGCCCTTTTCTGTTGGAGATAATAATTTTCAGCAAGCAGTCGCTTCTGTTTTTATTTATTTATTTATTTATGTATGTATGTTTGTTTGTTTTGTCGTTGTATGAGACCTAAAGGCTTCACGCATGCTAGGCAAGTGCAGAACCAGTAAACTACCTCCTCAGTCCCTTTCATTTTCTGAAAAACTGAGGAGTGAAATGTCTTGATAGTACTTTGAAACAAAAATGATATTGACAGTGATCATTCTGTGTTTCTTAGGGGTATGACTACGAGGTCATCATTTATGGTCATAGATGGTGTGTAAATTCAGATTATTGTTTTATTTATCCCATGTAATACTTTGTGTGTGTGTGTGTGTGTGTGTGTGTGTGAGAGAGAGAGAGAGAGAGAGAGAGAGAGACAGGGTTTCACTATTGAAGCTTTGGCTGGCGAAGTAGACAAGGCTAGCCTTGAACTTGCAGTGCTGGGATTAAAGGCAGGTGGTACCATGCCTTGGAATTAAAGGACATTATATATATCAGTGAGCAGTTTGTTCTGTGTACCAGGGAGAGAGAAGCCTGTTGTTAGAGTTTTCTACCAGTTTCTCAAGACAACCTTACTCTGGTTACTTAGGAAAAATATTAGTAATTTTGGTCAATTGACGTATTGCAGCCCCCGCCCCCACATTTGGATATCTAGATCTTGAAATCTTTATAAACCTTCTATATATAGTACATATTTAAGAATAGGCTGTACTCCTTCAAAATTGCAGCATATAGTTGACACTTGGCCTGTTTGTGGTTTTTCGAGACAGGGTTTCTCTGTGTAGCCCTGGCTGTCCTAGACTTTGTAGACCAGGCTGGCCTGGAACTCACAGTGATCCACCTACCTCTGCCTCCCTGAGTACTGGGATTACAGGTGTATGCCACCAAGACCAGCTGACACTTTGCCTTTAAAGTGCAATGAAGGGAGTGGGAACTTGGGACAGGGAGGTGGATGATCAGGATTCCTGTAGCATATAGCACCTCCACTTCTGTTGAAACTCAGTGCTTATTTTAATTTCAGTTTTTGGCAGAGCAAACTTAGAGTTTTAGGTTTATTTTCACTGTGTGGATGGAGGCATATTCTTCTTGTCTTAGACCTCCCAGTTTGAACTTTCCTCTTGTTTTGTTTGAAACCTTTAGGTAATCCTGTGGCCAGGAGGCAAATATCTGCCTTTTACCCTCAGAAATGTTCCCTTGTAGTCTAAAAGTTGAGTACTTCTGAGAAGGGAGTCTTGTGGGGCTACTGCTCCTTAGCCTGAATTGTGTTGAGACATTTTTTTACAGTTTCCACACATGCAGACAAGTATTATTGTTTTCTTCAAAGTGAAGCTGGTGGTTGGCCACCAAGCAACTTGTTACATGAAGGATTCTAAAATAGGAAATACCATACTGTCAAAGGTTACAGCGGAGCAGAAGTCTGTGTCTTTGAGCTGAGTAAAGACATGGCTTTTTCGGCTGTGTTGTGCCTGCTGAGCTAGGGCACTATTTTTAGGTATCATTATATTTTGGGGGGAGTCAGTTAATACGTCTGGCGTCTCTATTAGCTGGGAACTTTGCCTTTTGCCATTGTTAGTAAGAAATTTCAACTCCAGGTGGTTTAAGTGAATTCAGTCATCATTGTCTTTAAAATCTGTGTACATGTGTGGACTGTCCAGTTTTCATTGCCTAAGGCAACAATGCTAAAAAAAAAAAAAAAAAAACCAGGAGAAGCCATCCCTGCTGTGGAAGGACTTGTGAAACTTGAAAATCTGCAGCATATGCCCTAGAGATCTGCTTCAGTGCTGAAAGGCACTTGTCGCTCTCGCGGTGGGACTGGGTTCACTTCCCAGCCCCTACATGGCCACTTGCAGCTATTTGTTCCAGGGGATCCAACAGCCTCTTCTGACCTCTGGGCACTGGGCATGTGTGTGCCACACAGACACGCGTAGAGGTAAAATACTCATACACATAAAAAAGACTAGGAAAAAATGCACCGTTTTCATGAAAACCTGAGCATAGTGCAGAGGGATCCTCAGGGAAGTTGAGTAAATCTTACAAATACACCTGTGCTCTCTGTTTAAGAAGGCTTGACATTAACACTGAGTGCAAATCAGCCGTAATTGTCTGTCACTCACTTTTGAAGATCCAAATGCAGGCCTAGTGCAAGAAATAAGTTCTTAGGGTTGTTTGTTTTCATAAACTCAGGCAGACATACTTGCAAATGTAGTTGGATTGTTACGTAGTATTTTGAAATGTTTTCTACAAGAAAAGTGTGATGTGGAGAGAGCGGCCACACCAGTTTACTGGTCTCTTCAGTGCGTGGGCGTGTCAGCATTGCTTTTGGAGCAGGAACTAGCAGCAGCACAGAGTACTGCTCTTACCACCTCAGGGGTGGCTGAGATAATGCTTTAGAAAATCCTTAGTGTGATAATTAGTGTTCTTTTTAAGACTGTCACTGATGCAGCATGAAGACTGCTTGCATGTGTAACATATGTAAGTATTTCTATGTTCTACTCAAGTCAAGTGTTTGTTACACTTTGTTATCTGAAAGAAATGGAGAGTTTCAAATTTAAATCAAAAGTCTTAAAAAAAAAGTCTTATCAACTTGTTCACCCTTGTGCACATAAGTCTGGTGAAACAGGAATTTGTCATGATTTAAATAAAAAAACGTGATTTATCGTGTGTGTGTGTGTGTGTGTGTGTGTGTGTGTGTACATATATGCACCTATACACACACACACATTTGTGTAGCTAATGAAAGGCTTTGGTGTGTGCATGTGCACATGCGTGTGCGGAGGTCAAAGGACAGCTCTGTGAGTCGGCTTACCGCTTCCACGTTTACCTGGGACCCATGGATTGAACTCAGATTGTCAGATTTGTGCAGCGAGTGCCCTTACCCTCCGCCCGGTCCTCGCCGTCTCTGTGGACTGACGGTTTTATTTCTGGCCTGTACTTTCAGCCATCTTATCACAGCTGAGTTTGCCGTTTCACCTTTCTTTGTGGGCATATATGCTACGGTGGAAGCATTCTTGTAAACACAAGCCTGTCAGGTGTACTTATAAATAATGTAGTCTAAAAAATTACACAAAATCATGCCTGCATATGGTAAGTTAAATTGAGCAACACTTATGTATATATTATATATACACATATGTATGTGTATACACATATAAGATACATAACTCAAGTATATATAATATATGCACACATATAAATCACACACACATATATATATATATATATATATATATATACACATGTATATATGCATATATATAGCTTAAAATAAAAGGGGCTGGCGAGATAGATGGCTCAGTGGTTAAGAGCATTTGTTTCTCTTCAAGCAGACTGAGTCCAGTACCCAGCACCCACATAGGGTGGCTCACAACTGCCTGTTACTCCTTGTCTTCTGGTTTCTGTGGGTAACTGCACATGTGTGGCACCTACTCAGACGATCTATGTATTAAAAAGAAAAGGATTAAAACAAACACTGTCATCTGTCACCCCTCTTTCCAGCCCCCATTCTTCCTTCATCTCTCGTCTTGTTCTTCTGAATGGCCTTGGGGAATAGCTGGGTGTTTTGGAAGACCCCCTCTGATCCTAAGGTGTGTGGCAGCAGTAGAAGTGGAGTGAGGGATCCAGGAGGAATGGCTGTTGAACTTGACATTGGATGCCTGTTCTGCTCTGCTGTGACGTGAAACGTTAGTGACAATCTGCTGTCAGACTGTTAAAGGCTTAGCCTTGTGGTCAGGTTGGGGAAAGTTTTGGTTTGCTGACCTTTTAATTTTCTTGTTTATTTATTTTGTGTGTTTTGAGATAAGGTCTATGGAGCCCTGGCTGTCCTGGAATTCACTCTGTAGACCAGGCTGGCCTCTGCCTCCCAAGTGCTGGCATCAAAGGCGTGCACCACCACTGCCAGTCAAACATTTTTTAATAAAACATTCTTTATATTTATTTTATTTTATACATGAATATTTTATCTTCATGTATGTGTACTACATGCATGTCTGATGCTCTTGGAGACAGAGGGCTCTGGATCCCCTGGAGTTGGAGTTGTAAACGGTATGAGCCACTAATGTGTACTGGGAATCCCCAATCTTCTGCATCAGCATTATGTGCTGAACTGTCTCTCCATCTCCAACCTTGAACCTTTGATCCTCCTGCCTTCACTTTTTGTAACTGGGGTTACAGACATGTGTTACCGTGCCAGTTCCAGAACTCAGGACTTTATGAAGGCTAGGCAAGCACTGTACTCCCTGACTTTCCCATTTTCCAGATGAGGAAGTGTAGGCTGGAGAAACTGACTTGCCCAAGGTCACACAGCTCAGTGGTAGGAGTGTGAAAGCTTTTATCTCTAGATGCTCTTGTTAGGCCATTTGGTGCATGGCTAGTTTTCCATCTGATTGAGTTATGGATGGAAAGATGAGGTGCTGGGAATAGTGGAAACAGGTGCTTCTGACATGCTGTGTGGAGGGCTAGGTGTTCTGGTGAACTAACTGTCTGTGCTGTGGTTTTTGGAGACAGGCCATGGATATATAGAAAATCTCCTGCCTTAGTCTTTGAACTGGGATTACAGGTGTGTGCCAGCACCACAGCTGGCAGTCTGTGGTATTTAAAGGCTTTTTTCTCTCTTTCAGAAAGTATAAAGCGCTCTGATGGGCTGTTTGGGTGCTACCCAGAGCAGTGAACTGCAGGTGAGTAGAGGCGTTACAGGGCAGTGTCTGAAGGAGAAACAACCCTCAGCAATGCCTGGAGAGACGAGAGAGAGACTTCATCTCATCTTTTTCTTTTTATTATTATTTTCATATTCAGAGTAATGGGTTCATTGTGACATTTTTATACCTATGTGTCATTGTATCTTGGCCGTGTTTGGAGAATTTATCTTGACAAGAATGTCTGGCTAGAAAAGGTGACAGGGACAAGGTGGGATGATGTATAACTGGGCGAGACAGGTATCCTGGGGCTGTAGGACCTAAGGAGTTGGCTGCTTCAGAACAGACTGGACAAAGCTAGCTCTCGAGGTACTGCTAGACTAGTGTGGTGAGAACAAGGAAGGGGGAGTGTGAGGGACTCCTTGGACTGTGTTCTGTGTGAGTAATAGCACATTTTTTGTCTCGCGATTGGAACTGGGGAGCTGCGACAGCTTCTATGTCCACGTTGCTAAGTGCTAATCACCCTGTGCTTTCAAGGCTGATGAATTGCTCTCTTGCTATCTCCTCGTTATGTTGGGTCATGAATGACTCATATACACATACATATACACACTTGTTTTAAATTTGTAGTGTATATCATGTGCATGATCAGTTTGGAGGATTTAGATACTGAGAATATACCAGTAGAAACAAAAGGTGGGACTTTCATCCTAAATGTTGTACTGACTTGACTTACGTTATCAGTCCTTCAAATTATTTATGTTTTGCTGAAATGCCTCCTTACTAAAGAAACTTAAATCTTTTTGGTCCATTCATTATCTTGGTCTTTGATGTTAAAATAGAAATGCTGCCGAGCCAGGTGTGGTGATGTATGACTTCTTTATTCATTTATGTATATGAGCGGTGTAGCTGCATATACACCTTCGTGCCAGAAATGAGCATCAGATTCCGGTTCTGATGGTTTGAGCCACCATGTGGTTGCTGGGAATTGAACTCAGGACTCCTGGAAGAACAGCCAATGCTCTTAACCTCTGAGCCATCTCTTCAGACCCTGGTATATATCCTTTTTCTTTTTTTCTTCAGACAGGGTTTCTCTATATAGTCTTGGCTGTACCCAGACTCTCTTTGTAGACCAGGCTGGCTTCAAACTCAGAGCTATCCTTCTGCCTTTGCCTCCCAAGTGCTGGGATTAAAGGTGTGCACCACCATACCTGGCTTCCTGGTATAAAAAAATCTTTAAAGATTAATTAATTAATTAATTATGTATACAATCTTCTGTCTGCATGTGTGCCTGCAGGCTAGAAGAGGGCACCAGATCTCATTGTAGATGGTTGAAAGCCACAATGTGGTTGCTGGGAATTGAACTCAGGACCTCTGGAAGAGGACCCAGTGCTCTCTTACCCACTGAGCCATCTCTCTAGCCCACTGATATAAATCTTAATCTCAGCAATCAGGATGCTGAGGCAGGAGGGTGGTGAGTTCAAGGCTAGCCTCGATTGCATAGCAAGTTCTAGGCCAGTGTAGGCTACATGAAGCTCTATTAAAAACATCTCTATCTATCTATAGCTCCCTGTATCAATGTTTCGTTTTTGTTTTCTTTTGTCTTGTGGCTCTGGGATGGCCCTTGGCCTTGCACACCCACTCACACACTCTGCACTGTGAAATTACTTCATGTATTGTCAACATGGTCTTTTGTTAGACAGCCTCCTGTCCAGAAAGCCCGCCATCTTGCTCTTTGAACTCTGGCTTGTCATATTTATAAGAACTTGCTACCAACATTTGTTGTGAGCCTAAGTTTTTAGTCTTTTGTACTTTGTAGAGATGAACATTCTTCTCTTTATGATTTTTTTTTTTTTTTTTTTTTTTCCTGCTTTAAGGCAGGATTTTGCAGTGTAGCCCGGGCTGCCTTCACACTTGGGCTCCTCCTTCTCTGCCTCTCCTGAGGATTAGGATTTCCAGATGGGCAGCCACACCCGTCTCTTCTAACTGTGCTAATACTTCCTGGCCCCTGGTTCTTTGATGTGTCTGTGAGTCTGTCCCAACTGCAACAGTCCACTGCTGAGTCAGCACAGTGTTCTTGCGACCCCTCTGACACACACAGCATATTTGCACACTTTTGAAGTTTACAGTAATGTGGTCATGGCTCCTTAGTCATCACATTAGCACGTAATTGTTGTCCTTTGAACCTTGAGTATGTGTGCATTTTGTGTGATTTGCCTCTTGTGCAGATGGTTGGAATTTCTGTTTGAGGTGAATTGTTGGTTATGGAAAACTAAGATGGCCAGGTGGTGTTGGTTCACACTTTTGATCCCAGTGTTCAGGAGGCAGAGGCAGACAGATCTCTGGGATCTCAAGGCTAGCCTGCAGAGCATGGTCTAGGATAGGCAGAGCTACACAGAAAATATATATCTTGAAAATCTAACAAAAAAGAAAAAAAAAAAAAAAAAGGAAAGAAGGAAAAACTAAGGTGGAGATTGGCAGAGAGGGTTATGTTGTCTGTAATCTAATCTCAGTGCCGGGAGCACTGGAGAACTACTAGCTAAAGGCTAGTACTGTTTCCGGGAAACCAAGCCACCCTGAGACTGTTTCAAGATCTAATAAAAAGCTGGCATGGTGGGTTGTTCCTGACCCAGCACTAGAAAGGCTGCTGAGCTCCTGTTACAGGCTGTTGTTTCCTGGGTGGATTAGAGCTTTCCTTCTTTTTTTACATTTGTAAATTGGGTGTTCAAGCCAGCTCCTGTGTGTGTGTGTGTGTGTGTGTGTGTGTGTGTGTGTGTGTGTGACAGATCCTCTGTAATAGGTTTTCTCTGCTGACGAAATGAACCAATTCAAGCCAGATTAAAGCATAAAGACAGGTTTATTGGATGCAGTTCTTGGGTGGGTTCACTGGCTCCAAGGAACAAGACCATGGGGAAGGGAGACAGAGAGGAAGGGGAAGAGAATGAGAGAAAGAGCATGCACACACAGGGAGAGAGAAGATGCAGAGAACGAGAGGGAACCACAATGTCTGGGTTATATATGGAAGCCCAGTTCCTGGCCTGGAAAGTTCAGAGTAGAGGTCAGCCTGTGCCAGCCATGCCCTGTAATAGGTAAGGACTGAGGGGAGAACCTGGAGGCCAGGTCCTCTTTGACATGTTAAATATGCATCTCAGCGAATTGTCTTTGCCATGTTAAATATGCATCTCAGCGAATTGTCCTGAGTCTGAAACCCAACATCCCTGCCTTTTGTTGATAATAAGTGAATAAGGGGCGACTCGATTGTCTATGATTACTTCCTGCTCACATTGGGGCATTGATATTGAGGAGAGGGCCAAAATACGCAATGTTGAGCAAATCCAGGAAGAGCAGGCTGTTTTACGTTGTCCAGCATCTGTGGGACCATCTGCGGCTAGGAAAGTGCAGGCTCAGTTGAAGCAGTCTTCCAGGTCACCTGCATTCTGGATGCAGATCTTGAGAAAACACCTGGACCTAGCAGGATGATAGAGCCTACATATTAGGGGCAGAAGATAAAGATAAGTAGGGTGTGTTAAATAAGAACCTTAGCCACTGGTCGGGGTCTGAAACCCGACACTGCAGCTGGAGGCACAGGCCACCTGGTATTGGTGCTGGGAACAGAACTCTGGTCTGTTTCAAGAGCAGAGCATGTTTTAAACTGTCATCTTTCTAGCCCCTTGGACCTTTCTTAGTGTTGACATTGTTAGTGTTTGGGTTTATTACCTAGAATAGTTGATTTTCAAAATATTCATACTGTAAATTATGATATAATAATATGATTTAAGAACTTATTAGATGTTGATGAACATTTCATGTTATAAATTTTATGACTATACAGGTCTTTTGTTCTGTTTTGTTTTTTGAGACAGGGTTTCTCTGTGTAGCCTTGGCTGTTCTGAACTTGTTTTGTAGACTAGGCTGGCCTCGAACTCACAGAGATAAGCCTGCTTCTGCCTCTCAGAGTGCTGAGATTACAGGCTTGCACCACCAAGCCCGGCTCTCATGTTATAAATTTTATAATTTTAAGTTGAGCATTGTGGTGCCTTTAGTCCTAGCATTGGGGGCGGGGTTAGGGGTTTCACAAAAAAGACCGGCAGATCTCTGAGCTCAAGGCCAGCTTGGTCTACAGAGCAAGTTCCAGGACAGCCAGAGCTACACAGAGAAACCCTGTCTCAAAAAAACAAACCAAAAAATTGAAAGAAAATTTACAATTTTAATTTACATACAGAAAGCTTACAGAAACAATCCCATCCAGTTTAGACTGGCTTCAGATTCTGTATCCAGCATGACCTTGAATTTCTCTCTGACTTCCATCTCCTGATTACAGGTGTATTTACCTCTTGGTGCTGGGACTTGACCCTAGGGAGTTGTGCATGATAGACAAGCACTCTGCCAGCTGAACTGCATTGCCAAGTCTGTCTACATCTGTCTTTTTGCATTAGTTATTTATGTTGCTGGCTGGTTTTCAGTTATCCATTAGTAAAAGGTTTATTTTTGTATTTTATGTATGTGAGTGTTTTGTCTGCATGTACACCTGCACACCTGAAGAGGGTATCGGATCCTATTATAGATGGTTGTGAACCACCATGTGGTTGCTGGGAATTGAACTCAGGATCTATGGAAGAGCAGCCAGTGCTCATAACGACTGAGCCATCTCTCTAGCTCTATTAGTTAATCGTGTAATTTGTATCATTGTTGGTGGAAAGATATATGTATGTATGTATGTGTATGTATGTATATATATATACACACATATCTTCTGACTATCTCTAGGATACATTTTGGAGTATGTTTTTATGTTAAGAGATGTATATGTCAACGAATGTTTTTATGGATTCTGATATATTGTTTTACAGTAGCACCAAGGATGTCATACAGTATTTTCCTCTTGCATTATAAGTTGGATAGAAGTCCATTTTCCTGTAAACATTCTTTTCTTTTTTTTTTTTAAAGATTTATTTATTTTATTATGTATACAATGTTCTGCCTGCATGTACACCCGAACGCCAGAAGAGGGCACCAGATCACATTATAAATGGTTGTGAGCT